GAGGGGGGGGGACACGTGTAGAGACGGCAGTATATACGAAGACGCGGTGAAAGCGAAGAGAGATGCGGAGAAGACTCACCAGAATACTGCCAGGCTCTCACAGTCTATGCACACGCAGTGCTGAGTATTGGTTTCGTAGTGCTGCAACGCGTGGCCCGCCACGTATCGTCCGCAGTGCACGGATCCGCAGTGTAGACAGAGCCAGGGACTCTTCTCGGTGCCGCACACTATACACAATAACAATACAAAATGTGAATGACAGTCGCAAAACAAGCTCAATCGACGTTGCGCTATATCGATAATAAAGTAAAGAAATCGGCTATGTTACACGGGCGCGAATGTAGGACTAAAACTGTAGTTTTATTAAATCAAAGTTTTAGAAACGCATATTAAAATAATTAGTCAATCTGGATTAACGGAATTATTGTGTTGCCGATATCTTTACTGTCATCAATTTCCCGCATCAAGCTAAATAAATTACAATATTTCGTTCATGCATCCCAAAAGGCATTTGTTTCCAAGTATCACATACTCTCGTAAATGTAAATGGATGTGATGGAAACTGGTAGACTAAAGGATGCTGATGGGAATACGGATGGAAAGGTTCAGTTAGTTTACGGTACTTCATTCATTTAACGCATTTGTATACGCTGTTTAATGACAGCATCCTAAGATATTTTTACGAAAGATTATATACATGCAGAAATCTGTGAATTGTCATACGCTGTGCTTCTGTTATCAGCAGTATCATTTTAATTTCATACATATTCTCGTAGCACAGTTAACGCTAAATGTGACCATCTTATTTTTATCACAATTACAACGAATTCGATTTTCTTATAGATGAAACTCGATATAAGACGTGACCGAATTTAGCGCTATATATACTTCTATAAAATTATCTAATTTCAAAATTTTGATATAATCGATGAATTTTGATAATTGATAGAGATACCAATTCTTCTTTTAAGAGTCTCTTTTATATTCTAAAAAAACTTTTGATAAAAAAAAAAGAATTTAAAAATACCGAATGTTAATATTATATAACAATTTATCAGAATTCTTTTTATTATATTTCAATGAGGAAAGAAACCGATTTGAGTTCAAATATTTTATAAAACTAATTACTTTGAGCAGAATCTTTAAGAAAAATATCGGAAAAAATTAAAGCATGGATTAGAAAATTCTATTCGTGAAATGAAAAATAATTGGTTTTTTCCTCAAATTTCTCATTTTTGTTTTTATCGCTTTGAATATTAATTACAAGAATAAAAAATTAATCACAAGAGAAGTGTAGAACTCCACATAAATCTTTGAAAGTCCAAATCTTTATCAAATTATATAAAAATTCAGACAATGAAATAATAATTTTACAGAAGTGCTAAATATGGCGCTGCATAACGATGTATATGTAAGTTTCATTCATAATAAGCTTTTATATTATTCTTTCTTAAATAATTGCCAATAATCTGGCATATGGATCGAAACGACAACCATCCAGTCGCAGAGTGTAATGTATCTGGTGGTTGCGAAATTGCAAGTCGGCACTGCCGTGTCGTTTCGACTCGTCTCAGCTTACGTAATTCTCGCGAGACCGCGTAAAAGCGCGGGGTGCGGTAGCGAGCACGGGTTCGACACACCCCCTTCGCAGCCGATCGATCGCAAAATGTCTCAGAATTTCATCGGGCTTCGGAATCCTGGTGACTTGTAATCATTCGTCAGCTAATCGGAATCTTGTCTAGAAAACACGATTTCTAAACTTATTTTCGCAGATATCAAGAGAGAAGGAGCGAAATCTCGAGTTATTTAATGTTATAATTATGCAAACAAGATTCAACATTATGTAACAAGAAATACATTTTTGATGATTGTTGAATATAAAGGTCTGTATTAAAATTAAATTAAAAAATCAATAATTGTATCTTTTCATTTTTCGAGTAAGGACATAATTCCCGTGTGAATTACAAGAGACAAACAACTGCGAAATTATAAAATGACGAGCGCTCAAAATCGGATGACTGGAATCCACTGATTCAGGACATCGGAAGGCAACAAATCTGTCAGCGCTTTACATATGCAGACGAATTCAAATTCGCATGCGAAAACTTGGCGTAATCTCTCACCGAATTATTTCCCAAAAGCAATCGCGTTATCCCAAAGTATTTGCGAACAATGATCTTATACAACGGGGGGAGGGGAGGAGAAGGAGACCTTCCCTAGAACGCAATTAAAAAAGCGCGAACGCGCGAAAAGTGAAACGCCGAAAGTTCGTGCACCGGAAATCTGATCTCGCCGAAGGTCATTCCTATCTGGGGAGTCATGTTCGTTTTCGGTACCGATGTATAAGGAAGCCATAAAACAGTGTTATATCGACACGTTTTAATCAGCAACTCGTTGCTATGAGAATCTTGTGGCGAAGAATAGGAAGGAGCGAAATCGAGTAGGTTCAGTTCGCGATAAAATCTCATTTTAAACGACAAGTTTTCCTTAAAGATTGCTAGAGTAAAGTATCCTCTTATAACTTTCATTTTAATTTGCAAATATATTTCAAACAATCATTTTTCATTAAGATACAAAAAAGTCTTTATTATTAGAAAAAAAATATATGTTTTGTAATTCTCTTAGAATTATCAAAGGCAAATAAAAAGATTCTTCAGCAAATAATATCTCACGGACAAGCTGTTTAATGCTGCAAATATAAATTATGCAGCAGATTGGCTAACGTAAGACATAAATATCGCTATCAAATAAATGATCTTATCATTGATATTACATTGTGCAATGGTACATGTTCTCAAATTAACTTCATATATACTCGCAGGCGGATAGTAGAAGGTATGATCTAAAAAGAAACTATGGAACATATTCTTAAATTAACTTTCTTCATATATAGGTATATACTTGCAGATGGATAGTAAGAGATATGATCTAAAAAGAAACTATTTCACTTAAAATTAATTAACCGAAGATGATGGATACGAATTAACTTTATCGTCTGATCGAAATTACACACTTCAATATTTCCTACTGATGTACGAATAAAGAATGTTGTTTAGCACATCATTACTGCTGATGTCTGCTAGAAATCGTTGTCGTAGGAGCGACGTGGATGGCACGACGGTACAGCTCCGACCGTTCAATGTGTCATCGCAGATAACGAACAAACCGTAACGAGGAATGTTATCGGACGAAAAATGTATATACTTTCACGGCGACAGCGCGCGCGACGTCGTTCGTACAAGCACATTCGTTCATTCATTCAATGTCCGCTTGTTCAATAAAACGATCTAGTAGATCCTCGCGGATGTTCCTCGTGAATTGTCAGAGTAACTATTATTGCGAGCGAGATAACGACAATGAACGAGAGGGAAGTGATTAAATAACAAAATCTTATTTAAATATAAGTAAATCTCCCTTCCTCCTTCGTCGTTTTAAGTCGACGGTCGAGTAATAGTAAAAATATTTCAAGTCGCACGTTGAAAACTAACAATGAATGCTGTACGATAAACTTGTTTAAAGTTATATGAAAAAAGAAATCGAAATGGAAACATCTTTTGTTGAAGTAAAATTCAAAATTTTGAAAAAATCATATAGAAGATTGTCTGTTTAACCGAAACTAAATAAAAATTTTACTCTTGGAGAAAAGAAGTTAATAAATTTATAATTAACGTAATATACATACAGCACATAAATTTTCTGCGAATGACTCTCTTTTATTTATAATAATGTGACATTTACAAAATTTCGCGAAAACACGCTCCTTGAAAATTATTGAATCATCCGTAAGAATAGAGAGGAGATGGAGAGAGGAACATGGAAATGCACGAGTAACACGCGAGGACTATACATCGCGTCGTAAACACATAATTCACAGTTTTTCAATCGCAAATCATCGTCGGTCCTCAAGCGAAACAGCGACACAGTGACACGATCGATGATTAAACTCCGAGAATTATTTTCGGGAATTGCGTCAGCGAGTTGCACGGACGTCAGCGGTGAACCAGAAATCGAGTGTTCCGATCGCACGGCAAAATTGTGACGATCGGGACTACATCGATTGTCATGGAGTACCGTCGAGGCACGAGAGAGAGAGGAAGTAGCTACTTGAAGGAACGAGTGTATCAGGTATAGCTTTCTTCCTCTTTATCTCACTATCCAACTTTGTAACGTTCCGATTCCGCCATGCCTATATGAACGTCGACGACGTCGTTGTCACCCGAAAGTCGACGTCGTTGATATAGCATTGATGTATAGCATCGTCTCTCGTCGACGAACTGGAGGACGAGATATTGCGAGACGACTGAAAGAGCGACGGAAGAGAGAAGTTCATCGATGAGACCGTGACATTTGTTCGGTCAAAAAATCGATACGTTAACTTATCCGGAAACCGCAATTGCAGCTTGCGCAAATAACCGAATTATCTTCTATTGTACAGATTGTAATTATACAATTCTAAGTATAATAATTATAGATAATAATTAAACAATATTACATCAGATTATGATAATTATAAAAAATTATCGTGATTTAAATAAAGTATCACAAAACACGTTTTTCTCATTTATACTTGTGCCTCCAAATAATTGGCAATTGTGTGAGAAAATATATACTTAAATGGTTATTTTAGAAATATGAAAAACTTCTGCGTTCCGAAAGAATCATCAAAATTTTTTAGCGCACTCGCGTGTACTATTTGGCAGCCTAATAGCAGGCTTATCGACACCTCGCGTCGCAATGAGAGAGATAAGCTGCCTGCGCCGAAAAAAGGCACTCGATAACGCGGAGCAAAGTATATCTGCGTGAGGAGAACGGCAACGAAGTACAAGCGTCTTCGCTCTCGCAGCGAGCTGTCCGATCAGCAACACGGCGCGATTATCGATTTTGCAATGTTGTGCAGTCGAAGGTAGGCAGCCTGCAACCAGCAACCAGCAGCAGCCGCAGCAGCTGTAGCAGCACGGGAAAAGCGACGGCGGAAGAGGGGCGGCGGCGCGGACCGAGGGTCCTTTTATAGTGCGTAAGGGGCGATACTTCTTTTTCCTCTCTTTCTCTCTCTCTCTCTCTCTCTCTCTCTCTCTCTCTCCGCCTCTCGTGCTCTCAGCCGGCGCGGAAAACACGCGGCGACCACCGCTGCCGGCGCGATTCCACAGAGGCATTTAAATCGATCCACCGCCGGATACGTCGCGATTCGCCGAGCGTGAACCGCTCTCTCGCCCGGTTTCTCGCGACGCTAATCGCGACGCCACGTTCTCGCGAGAGGAGAGAGATAACGCGCGACAGGAACAATTTCTCAGAAACGAGTCTTGACGCTCTTGTTCGAAGTATTTATTTACGTAATACTGATGCCACGTTGAATGATGTCGCTGAGGAATAGTACTGTGTGTAATGAAGTATAATCATGGAATTTAATTGGGAGCAAAGTAGGAAGCAATGTATTCAGGTATCATCGCAATAAATGTTAGAAGACGTAATATCGGAACGGGATCGTGTAAATTAAATATTTATCAGAAATAGAAATTTAAAACAATAATTCTTTCGATATTTAATTAAAAATAAAAGTTAAAAATAATCACTCTCATCAATTAAAAAATTATATTTGAATAATTGCAAGTAAAATTCACGTGTTAAGCATATTATTTTAGAATCAATGCTATCGGTAAAAAATGTCGATTTTTATATAATATATCTACGTGTCGATGGCCATCCTTGGGAGACAGCCGTGACGCGCCGAAAGTATACCTACTACGAATCCCAGTGGCTATCGCCGATAGCACCATGTTGAGTAATCAAACGTCCGCGAGGAGGAAAGTGTGCGTTCGTCCGTCCGTCCGTCCGTCGGGATACTGACTCATCGCCAGTGACGTATCTATCATCTTCTGTACAACACGATGTATTATTCACGTGTGTGGTGCTCTTTGTGCCTGTTGTAAACCTATCTATCGCATGTGCATTTCTATTTTGCACCTATTTTGCCGTGGTCGAAGATAATCCTTTCAGTTATCTTCATGTGAATCCGTCTTTAGATTTATGTCGAAAGTTTCACCTCAGCGACGAACAATCGGCCTTTATTCCATCCAATAAACATAACAATAGACAAACATCTTCCTTCATTCAGTCAATAGAAAGAAAATGATGCCAACGAGAATAACAGAACAGCTAGAATAAAATTGATAGTGCAACTGGAATATTTGGGCCTCGACGCGAGATTTCTCTTTTTCCTATTAATTAATAGATAACGTCATTCTAGTTTAAAATAGAGCTCGATTCGTGTTTGCGCCTATCGCCAGCTTATAGTTATAATTCCGCGAAATTAACCCATGTGTTCTTTTCGCGTTTATCTCGAATAATAACAGCATCCTTTCTCTCTTTTCCCCCCTCTAGTTTATCTATCTAAATATGATATATTTCTTTCCTACTCTCTATAGTTCCGTCTCTTCTAACTCGTCTTTCCACTGCTTGTAAAGCGATTGCAGTCCACGAGTGATAGATAATCGCAGGAAAACATTCATGAGTTGTAGATACGACAGCGAAATGGATAAAACGAAAAGATTATGATTTATGACACATTCGAGTTGAAAAACTCAAAGTTCAGGTGGTTCAATGGAAATTTAATGTAACGATCGCATCTACACGACTATACATTTGCGTCATTACTATCTTTCTTTATATGCGTGCACAATTTGACATAGAAAAGCTTCCATGGAATTTGATTAAAAATCGCAAGATAAATTTTCCAGACACCTGACGTGAAAAACTGACACTTCACGACGGCCTCCCTGTGTCATCGAACTCCACCAAAGCTATTGTGTTTTATCTGCATCTCCCTTCGTTGCCCACGCCCGAAATTAACGGCAGCCTGTTCCTCTCGTTGCTGACTGTTACGCTTCCTACCGCGATGTCTCCCCCCCCCCTCCTCCCCCCACCATCCGTGTCGCGGCGAGAAGAAAGACGCACCGCCGCAACTCCCGGCCGTAACAAGCGGCTGGCTCGAAAATCGCAGTCGACTCTACCAACGTCATTCGAGCCGCAAGTGTATACGAGACTGGTAGCGGTATAGAGCAAGTTGCTCGCGCCCATCTGTCGTTCTATTTCCGTCAGAAAAAAAGGAGCAATAATCGGCGCCGATGAGATCGGTCATGAGAGATGATCTTACCGATTTAATTATTGTATCATACGCCTTGTCACGCGCTGACGCGAGAATTTTCAGTTCGGAAGGAGTAACGTGGCAAGTGGATCTATAGTTAGAAGTGAAAAAATATGTTTCTCACTTTGCTCCTCCGTTATCTTTTGTTGTGCAAACAAAACGGCTATCGCGCTTCAGTATATTTGACGGCTTATTAATAAGCACTCCTGCTCGGCATTCTCCCACAATCAGACTTTAGATTACTCAAAGACACACTATGCAATCACCGTTGCTTTTCGAGCAAATATTATAGCTTCTCATTAGTAGTAGTTAACCGCAATTAACCAAATTTTCTTTCTTCACCCAACCAAGATTTCCTAAGATAGAAAAGGAGCAGAAAGAGAGAGAGAGAGAGGAAGTATATTTCACTGCAGTCAGACTGAGAGCGGATGTCGCGAACCGCTCGAAGTCGTCGGTGGCATCGATTAATGTACATAAAATATTGACCGCGAAGACGCGAATCGCCGTACGGAATTAGCTTAGCCGGGCGGAGTCACGGGCGTACTTTGCAACTTCAATTGCGCCGATCCATGGGAGTTTCGCGAGGGGGAGAGGGACGGAAGGTGGGGAGGGGCAGACGGCGTGGACGCGCAAGGGGAGAAAAAACACATACGTTTCGGATAAATATAGTCCCGAGGTCGCGTAAAGAGAAAGGAAGGAGCTCGCGCCACGAAGCACCGGAGAGGAGATAGCACCAGGATTCGGGGAAGCGAACCTCCTCATGCCGGTCGGTCGTGGCCGTCGTGGATTTCACGGCCTCCGAGGACGGCCACGCTCGCTCCTCTCGAGCGATTGTCGACGGTCTCGTCCTCCCCCCCCCGCCCCTTCCCGTCTCTCGTCTCTATTACTCCGGCCCCCCTCCTCCCGCTCCCCTCCGGTCCTGTCGTGCATTGTCTCGTAAACGCCGGCCACTTCAACACAACTCCGCGCAGCGGTCAGCGATAATACTTATCCGCTGCTCTGAGTTCTGTAATCTGCAAACGACTGTTTTGCGACCAATACCAACGCGGGTTTGGGAATGTGTTTTTTCGGCTCGGCTGACGAAACCGTTCCTACCACAACGTCGCGTCCGACGGCTTAATGACGGCTTAATAATCCTCCATTTTCTTCCGTGCTCCACGGAAGAGTTCCACGAAGAAGAGAAAGAGAGCTGAGAGAGACAGATCGGCGAAACCTCGTTTTCAATATAACTAAACTGTTTACGGCAACGTCTCCCCCACGTCTCTATAGTATCCCCCCTTGTAATGACCGTTGTCCGTGTATCTTTAAATCGATAGCTCGGAGCTAGGCACGACCAATGTCACTGTCTGACTCGGCGAACGAAGGTCCTATATATCCCCGCGCTCATATACGTCCCCCTTCTTTCTCTATATACCCGCTGGCAGAATCGACATCGATTGCGGCCCATCGAAATTTCCGCACGGACGATTCCACGATATTCTCGTATTTTTTTTTTCTTTCTGCCGCTCCTTCTCTCTTTCCTCTTCGACGTGGAGATTCTCGCGACGAGTGCCGGTCGCGGGAGTCGCAGCGACGGCGACGGCGGTAGCGGCGGTAGCGGCGTCGGCGGCGGCGGCGGCGGCGGCGGCGGCGGCGTCGGCAGCGGTAGCGGACTGTTAGCCGGCGAGTTCTAATGACGGTGGATCTTAGGGCCAGCTGATTAGTGCCGTCTGGTATTGATTTTCCAATGACGGCCGCGCGGCGCATACTGAACTCCCAGCAGGACGACGACGCACACGCGCACAGCACCGTCACCGCTGCCGCTGCCGCCGCCGCCGCCGCTGCCGCTGCTGCCGCCGCCGCCACCTCCACCACTGCCACCAACACCACCACCATCGTCACTAACCACGCCGCCGTCGCGCTCTCGCGCGCGTAACGAGTCATGGGACCACGAACACGCCGTGCGAGAGCGAGCAGGCACACACCGATGCACATCTACAAACTCATGTTACACCACTCGCTCGCTCGCGTCTCACGCGTGCAAATCGTTCAGAAAGAGAGAGAGAGAAAGAGAGTGCGGGAAAGGGAGAGAGAAAGAGAGCGTGGGTATACGTATGCACGCACACACAGCCGGGTCGATGAGTTCGATCCGCTATACTTCGCTCGTTCGTTGCTTCGTGCGTCAAACGGGGAGAATCCGAGACGGCCGAACGATAAGCGGCGCGGCGTCGCGAAAATGCACACGGGTGACACGCACGAGAGCGACGCGGACGCGTCGGGTGCTTTTCCCGAGGGAAATAGCGGCGATCCGCTTCGTCTCGTCTCGTCTCGGCTACGACGGCTCAAGGCCGCGAGAGGAACGGCCGGGGCCTGGGTCACGAGAGAGACGGAACACGAGCGAGGAACGTAGCGCACACGAGAGCGGAGAGACGAGAGAAAGGGACAGGGGGACGGGGGGGGGAGAGAGCGAGAAAGAGAGAGAGAGAGCTGGGTTTGCGAGCGTGTCGCTTACGTATGTGTGCGCGCGTCCCGATCGTCGTGCGGATTCGCGAGAGGAAGAGCAGAGTAAAGCGGAGCGAGAGACAAGGGTCGAGCCGAGGAAAAGAAAGGGGAAGGAGAGACCCTAGGTTCCGAGAGACGAGCCGGCTCCCCTATCCATCCATCCATCCATCCATCCATCCATCCATCTCTATCATTCCCTAACGCTCTCTTTCTCTCTCTCTCTCTCTCCCCGTCTCGGCCGAGCTGGCTTGGAATCGTAGTGTAGTAGAAGGCACTCTCCGAGGCTTTGTACGAGTCCCTACCTGCGCAGACGAACGGCAGATCCTTCACAGCACAGCCCGATCCATCTACGTTGTCATCGCCAAATCGCACGCTCTGCGCGAGGTGCGGGCACTCCATGTTTTCTTCAGGCACGCTTCTCCACGAGGCCTCCGTGGCCACCTCGTCGTGGCTGCTCCCGTCGTCGCCGTCGTCGTCGTCGTGGTAGTCGTCGTCGTCGTACGAGCGTTCACGAGACAGTCCGTCTTTCTCTTTTTCCACAACGGGGCGGTGGACGAGGATCGGGCTAGGGGGAAAGGGCAGGGACGAGGGGGGGACAGGAGAGACGGGAGAGGAGACAGAGGAGGAGGATGAGGAGGAGGAGGGAGATGGGGTAGGTCTCGGTAAAGGGCGAGGGGGTACACCGCCGTGGGGTAGACTCCGGAACGGGGAACGGTGGTGGCGTGGTCTAGAGGCGGGGTACACGCTGCGGTGCCCCGTGATATCCGTCACATAGCGCGGTGGTAGCGAGGACACTGTTACGTCGCCTTTAATGAAAAGGAAAAGAAAAAAAATTTGCGAGCGGGGACGACGTGCGTGACGACGTTGAGGACCGTCGCTCCCGTTGCGCAGCGTACGACTTACTGAGAGGCGGCGCGCAACGCAACGCGGCGAGAGCGAGCGGACGAGGAGCGGAGCGGAGCGGACGGTTCGGTTCTCGGAGCAAGCGAGCCGTGCGAGCGAGCGAGCGAGCGAGCGAACCAACGAACGAACGAACGAACGAGCGAGCAAACGAGTGCGAGAAGAGAACGGCGGTGCGGCCGACTGGCCCCGACTGCCGACCGAGCGCGACCGAGCTGCGTAGAGCTCGGTTCTGCCGGTGGTCGGCCCACCTCCAGAGCCACAGACCACTAATAGTCGACTGACTCTCTCACCAGCCGGCCGTGTGTGCCTGTGCGGCCGCCTCTCCTCTCCTCTCCTGTCCCCCGGAGCAGATCCGACGAAGCGCGCCCCGACGTTCTCGTCGCCGCCGTTTCCTTCTAGCGCTCTCTCTTTCCCACGGCCGGGCCGTCGCGCCCTTTCTTCCGCCGTCTCGCTCTCCTCTCCTCTCTCTCTCACACTCTTTCCGCGTCGCCGCGACGAGGCCGACGAGGTTGCGCTAGGTCCTCCTAGCCTTGGATCGCGGCTAGGGCTAGAGGGTCGTGCGCAGCCTCGCGCACGGCCCGACCAGGGCCGGACCTTCGCCGAGGGCACGGGGAAACCCTTTCCCGTCGCCGAACGCGTATTTATCGAGCGCGCGCAAACGCCGAATTTATACCGCGAGACCTGCACCGAGACCAAGCCAAGCCAAGCGCGCCCCCGGTTGGATTCGAATCGATCCCCCGGTAAAATCGCTGCGCAACGGGAACACGACGAGCGGCGGCACGCGAGGGAGACGCGAGATTTACGAGAGTTCACTGCGTTTGCCCACCGATCGGGAGGTACTTGCGTATCACGCGAATCACCGACGAATGAAGTCTCACTTCACTTCGTTCTGTTGAACGCACGTTGGTAGGAACGGAGTTCCCTCTCGATGCCGGACCGTTTCGCGTTTGCCAAGAACCCGATTTCGCGTTAACGCTGCAGATACATCGTCCCCCCTCCCCCCTGCCCTCTCATCAGCGTACAGCGGAGCATTGTTAGAGAACCAGATCACCGGGGGATAAAAGACGCGAGGGAATCCCCGCATCATGTCACGACGAGGCTCCGCTTAGGCGCCGAGAAACGTTCGAGCTGCACCTGGCCTGGCCGATGCAACGAGGCCAGGGATGTAGTCGTAACCCTCCTGTTCCTCGCCGCGGTGCGGCCTCGCGCACGACGTCGTCGCGAGAGATAGACAGACCGCGAGCTTAGCAGAACCAGTTCTCTAAAACGGTGACAATACCCAGGCGCCTTAAGAGCGGTGAGACGCGGTCGATATCGTCGCGGGGGGTAGGGAGGGGGACCGCGACCGGCGAGACCGTCGACGCGGGCGTAATAAAAACCGACACTCGGCTCCCCCGATAAATTGACGATTTGACGCGCGCGGGCGATCGTCGGCGGATGATCCTGACATTGGCGCACATGTGCCGCAATGAGATTATCCGTACGTCTGTGTGTGCGCGCGGAGATCCGCGGGTCGTAGGATCGCCAGGGGGGGGGGGAGGCCAGCACGGGTGACGATTATGCCTCACATGGCGGATCGCGGCGGACGGGAGCAGACGTTTTCGGCCCAAAACGCGCTTGGGCGCACGGTGTGAAACGAACGATTATCGCATGCGTTTTCCAGTGCGATTAAAATGGCCGACTGAGCGCACGCGCGCTGCTGTTCGCTCGGCCTCTCTTCCTTTTTTTTCCCCCTCGAGATGCACTTGTAAATCGTATCATTTTCAATTCCTTTCCAATGTTCGTCACGTCATCGAAGACATTCGATCAATAAAGATACACCTCCTTTCAAATTATAAAACTACATCCAGTCTTGAACAGCTTTTTAAAGGACTCGGAACGGATGGTTGAGGTTATAAATTAATCGACATTAGGACTCGAGGTTCACTATAAGAAAAAAAGCAAAATACTCTGACAATAAGTAGCACGCGTGTCGTGAGTGTTAGTTCGCAAATTTATTTGAAAAGTGCAAGACCAACCATTGTTTTTTTTTCTTAATAATGTGAAGAAGATATTTAATTTCGTCTGCTAAATTGTGGGACAGGCTGTGTGAGTTGGAGTCCGGTGATGTTGTTGAACTCTAGCATCTTCAACATCTCCTTGGTCTCTGGATCGACCTCGATGATGTCGTGCTCCAAAGCGGAGACCTCAGGAACATAGTTGTCACGGCGTTCCCGCTCTTCCTCCTGCAGCTTGATGGAGATACCCCGTACCTGACTGTGCCTCAACCTCTTCATCAGGTGAGTAACAAATCTAGCGGTAATTAAAATGCGATTGTTAAAACATTACTATAGAAAATCCACGTAATACGAGTAACGTAGGGATATAGCTATAAAAGTACTCGATACAACAAACATTGCAATAAATCTATGTGGAATTGCAATAATTACATTATTGTAGCACAACCTCAATCGTAATCAAATAATTATTGTGCTATATTCAACCTGGCGTTAAACCTGATGGTGTTTTCCTTTGAGATTGCACTCGCACAGTATTTCCACAAGAACAACGTTCAAATCTATGTAAGAAGGCAGTGCAGATTTTAACATTCTCTTATGAAAACACCGCACAAATGCAATCCCAAGGCAGAACGCCATGAATATTAATTATTTCTAATGTCTATCACGAAAAGTAATGAATATAACAAAACTTCACGGTTAGTTGATAAAATGAGTTTCGAGAAGTGAGATCTCTTTAACATTGCTATGCACTTACCCAGCAATCTTGTTGCGCAAGGATTTGCTAGGGATAATAGCGATTTCCTCGCATATCCTCTTGTTCGTATGGAAATCCAAGGTGAGACGTGGATAGTACTTCTCGATAATGAGCTTCGCGGCCTTTTTGACCGTCTTCGTTCGCACACGACTCTGCAAATTGTGGAAAGGCAATATGAATCAACAATGCCGAAGCAGCGCAATACATATGATTTTATTATGCACAATTGTTGTGGGTCGCACTGTCGAGAGACACGAACATAACCTAAATCTAAAGTCGCGATGCTTCGCGCGTTATCAAAGTGGCTCGTGGCCGATTAATATTCGCACTCCCGGGTCAAGTGAAGGATATACGGAACGAACGCGCAGAAATCACCGGCGATTTTTCACGGATCGCCACAAATTTTCGTGGATTAAGATTAAAATTTGTCGTGGCATACGAACCATGTTGGCGTAGACACCGGAAAGAGTAACGAATTGAAACGCGAAAGGAAGAGAGGAGAATCGACGACGACGTCTCGCGCCGATGCTGTCGACGACAGACGGAGAAATTGCGAACTTATGTGAACGTTACCGCCAGGGTAAAAAGCAGTCGAGAAATTACCATATGCGATAGTGTGCACGAATGATAATGAAGGAAATACAATTTTGCGAGAAATATCTCGGTGGTATACGTGTAGATAAAGTTCGCTTTATTATCCGCAGACGCAGATTTAAATTTTTGTCGATATTACAGTAAAAAAAATTTTGAAAAATAAATTCTAAAATTGCGATTTATAGATATATAATTTATATATTTGTGACCAAGCCACGAAGATTTTCCAACTCTTTCAACATTAATTTTAAATAAAATTTAAATAATGGAACGTAATATATATTTCTACGGAATTGAAAATTTTTTAATTCGATATAATTAATTTTCGATAATGAAAAACAGACATCTGTTTTATATCAAGATATTTAGAGAAAATTAATTTAGGTAATGCTGCAATTTAATGCACAATTTCCGACATCTAGTGGCATTATTGGAAGAATTGAAAATTCTCGCTTGACGGATAAAATATCAAACGTTCGATTTTATTTTTCGTCCGACTCGATCGTTGTCTAAACTTTATCTCTGAAAGATGTCGCCAACGGCAGTAAGTACGCGGATCGCGGCTTTGGCGTGCAACATTCGCGAAGCATCGTCTCTCCGCTTTTTGTATTTTACCACGCACGTGCGTTTCCCTCGATCACGAACGACGAAATAATACGCGCAGACGATAATTTACGAGCCGAGGTCAAGGAGCGATCAAAACAATTCTTCGAATTCGAGTGGCAGTACGGAGTTCCTTGAATTTTCGGCATGGAGGGGGGGTGGGGAGGGGGCGATGCGCGCACGAAGGAAAAAAGTCGTCGACGGTAGCGATGTTTGTGCGTGGGGAATTGCGCGAGGGAG